ACTTCCCCCTTCTCTCACTCACACACACACACACACACACACACACACACACACACACACATATACTTTGAAAGGCTGCATGGAGTCAGGCCCAGCTTATTGTTAGTGAGTGTTTCAAGTGTTTCAAAAAGAGCATAATTTAACAAGTGCACTTCATACGAGCAATAAACAGCCCACCAACGTTTGTGATGTGAAGCATTGTAATTATGCAGCTCTTTTTAGAGTGTAATTTACCTCTTTGTAATAAAGATGGTAATTATATACAGTAGTCCTGACGAAGGGCTGTTCTGCACACTTTAATCAAAGCCAGAACAGTGTTACCTAATGGCACTGTTTCAGACAAGCCAGGTATGCTGTAACTGCAAAATGGTTCATAGATTTATTTAAAGAGTCGTATTAAGCATTTGGCCCTTACTAGTTTGAATTTTTAGGGTTTTTTTTAACAACATTTTACCCTGTCTCCATCCGCCATTGATCAGACAAACAGCTTGTCGCACCTCAAACTCACGCCATTGGTTGAGTGAGAGGCTGCCTTTCTGAATTGCTGAAACAGACAAAGCAATGTTTTGAAAGCAACAGAGAGTGTCTTTACTCTTCTGGAATCCAACCTACATATAATTTTGCACATTAAACTGGCATAGGAAAGGTGTTTTAACATCCTGATGAATGACAGACCATCTGCCCCTTCATCCTGTTGTGACTTGAGTTGGGGGGGGGTTTAGGAAGAGTGACACAATATCACTGCTCACCAGCCTACAACTGTCTGCCAGATTCACAGTCTGTCCAGGATATGAGCTCATTCTCTCTTTATCAACCAGTGGGACAGCTCAAATGCCTGTTTTATTGTTTTATACTGGCTTTATCACCATTGCAAAGAACACAGAGGCTTAATCTAAAAGTTTAGACATTCACTGCAAACAAAATAAGCAAAAATAATTTTAACACAGGAAGTGAGTGCTTTTGTAATTTAAGCCAGTGATATTTTTGGTTCCCGTGTCATTTATATTAACATATATGTAAATTATGTTTAGTGATTACTACACAGGTCTCAGGAATAGTTGATTCTGATTATACACAATTTTATTTTTTATTACGGTCTTTTTTTCCTCACAATTTTGTTATCATATTTTTTAAATTAATAATAACTCCATATATTTGAAGGAAGTCTCTAATGCTCACCAAGGCTGCATTTATTTGATAAAAAAATACAGCAGAACCAGTAATATTGTGAAAACTTCCCCCTTCTCTCACTCACACACACACACACACACACACACACACACACACACACACATATACTTTGAAAGGCTGCATGGAGTCAGGCCCAGCTTATTGTTAGTGAGTGTTTCAAGTGTTTCAAAAAGAGCATAATTTAACAAGTGCACTTCATACGAGCAATAAACAGCCCACCAACGTTTGTGATGTGAAGCATTGTAATTATGCAGCTCTTTTTAGAGTGTAATTTACCTCTTTGTAATAAAGATGGTAATTATATACAGTAGTCCTGACGAAGGGCTGTTCTGCACACTTTAATCAAAGCCAGAACAGTGTTACCTAATGGCACTGTTTCAGACAAGCCAGGTATGCTGTAACTGCAAAATGGTTCATAGATTTATTTAAAGAGTCGTATTAAGCATTTGGCCCTTACTAGTTTGAATTTTTAGGGTTTTTTTTAACAACATTTTACCCTGTCTCCATCCGCCATTGATCAGACAAACAGCTTGTCGCACCTCAAACTCACGCCATTGGTTGAGTGAGAGGCTGCCTTTCTGAATTGCTGAAACAGACAAAGCAATGTTTTGAAAGCAACAGAGAGTGTCTTTACTCTTCTGGAATCCAACCTACATATAATTTTGCACATTAAACTGGCATAGGAAAGGTGTTTTAACATCCTGATGAATGACAGACCATCTGCCCCTTCATCCTGTTGTGACTTGAGTTGGGGGGGGGTTTAGGAAGAGTGACACAATATCACTGCTCACCAGCCTACAACTGTCTGCCAGATTCACAGTCTGTCCAGGATATGAGCTCATTCTCTCTTTATCAACCAGTGGGACAGCTCAAATGCCTGTTTTATTGTTTTATACTGGCTTTATTACCATTGCAGAGAACTCAGAGGCTTAATCTAAAAGTTTAGACATTCACTGCAAACAAAATAAGCAAAAATAATTTTAACACAGGAAGTGAGTGCTTTTGTAATTTAAGCCAGTGATATTTTTGGTTCCCGTGTCATTTATATTAACATATATGTAAATTATGTTTAGTGATTACTACACAGGTCTCAGGAATAGTTGATTCTGATTATACACAATTTTATTTTTTATTACGGTCTTTTTTTCCTCACAATTTTGTTATCATATTTTTTAAATTAATAATAACTCCATATATTTGAAGGAAGTCTCTAATGCTCACCAAGGCTGCATTTATTTGATAAAAAAATACAGCAGAACCAGTAATATTGTGAAATAGTATTGCAATTTAATGTTTTAAAATATAATTTATTTCAGTGATGGCAAAGCTGAAATTCTAGCAGCATTACTCCAGTCTTCAGTGTCATATGATTCTTCAGAAATCATTCTAATATGCTGATTTGGTGGTCAAGAAACATTTATTATTATTATTATTATTATTAATGTTAAAAACAGTTGTGCTGCTTATGTTTTATTTATTTACTTTCAGGAAGCTTTCAGGAAACTCTGATTCAAACAAACAGATGAAAAGAAATTTCAGAAGAACAGCATATATTTGAAATATACATTTTTTTTAATAATGTAAAAGTAATTATGGTCATGTTTGATTAGTGGCATCCTTATTAAATAAAAGTATTAATTTAAATAATAAAAAGTCTGAATGATTCATAAATGGAGGACCACATTGGGCAGCAGTTAAATAAAGTGTGTTTTAAATTTTTCTGATACATTTTTGGGTTGTTTTTCAGGGGTGGTGTTGTGGTTTCACCACCGGATTTTGTGGTAAATACTTGGAGCCGTTCCTCAGTCTAAGCAGCGTGAGCTCCTGACCCAGACTCAGTGAGCTCATGCGAAGATGCACTGTTTCCCACATTGGGAAAGTCAAGTTCTTCTCTTTGTGTATGTTTGAGCATGTGTGCAGTCTGCTAGACATATGTTTACAGCTGTGACTTTGTGACTCATGATTACTAGGGCAATGTAAACAAATCATACAGTGGCTTATACGGTAAGACTCATTACCAGGACTTTTGTTCCATTACACTAGAGGTATCAGCCATTTCGCCTGCCTTTTTATTCTCATAGAGGCCTGAATGCTTGTGAATCTGGGCTGCTCTACTGGTCGTCTGCTTCAGTCCATCGAGCAGCTTTCTCTAGTGGTGTGATGTCTAATTGATCAAACTGCTCTAGCAAACTGTGATCACATTGTGTGCTAGAATCAGGATAAGTATGTGTGACTTGGTTTAAGTTATTGGTCCCGCAGTGAGGTGGTCTCTGTTCCACTGTGCTTTGTGTAAACTGACTGTTGGTTCAACACATAGCCTACCGTGGCTTTCACCAGGAAGTCTCATCTGGCAGGTTATGCCACCAATTCCTGTCCTGCAGACTTTTCCATGATATAAAAGAGGCTGATCCAGCCTTAAGTGCCAGTGGTGTGATGGGATTTTGTAGCGGCCGTTGGCCTGTAAAGTGATTGGCTGGATTTTAAATAGAGGACATAGTGAAGATTTTTTTTATTGCTCTGAGGTTGTTCTTTCATAGCTTTCATGGCAAATCTGAGAACAATATGAAACATTTTTGAGATCTCTTCTAAAACTCTGGTGGAGACAGATATTGCTAGATTTTTTTTCTCAAATAAAAAAATCTGACAAACAAGAGGTATTAGCCTCCATTTGCTCTCAATTTGATTTCATTATGAAAACCCTGATTTCATTACAAAAAGTATTTTGATACTTAGATTACTATGGGCAACCAAAAACGTGTTTGATTTTGAGCACCCACTGATAGACAGGAAACCGCTCCATGCTGACTCGACAGGAAACTTCACCACTGGATTACTCTTCTGTTCTGTTTCAGGGTGGGGATGAGCAGAAACAAAAGAGTTATCATTGTGTTCATATCTGCTCTGACTGATGGAGCGTTTCATTAGTCTGTGGGGATGGTAAATGGGGATGGAATGGTTGCGTGGCTCTTTTCTGAATAGGCTGCCTTTGTTCATTCTCTGTGGCTTTTAGTTAAGGTAAAGTCAAGCAGAAACTGTGCACCTGGCCTGTCAGTCTGTTCTGGTGGTAACAGGTAAAGTCAAGCAGAAACTGTGCACCTGGCCTGTCAGTCTGTTCTGGTGGTAACTGGTCCATCCAGTGTAATCAAAAGCAGCAGTGCAGAGACAGACCTGTCCAGACAGTGCAGTGGCCACCTGTGTCTGCCAGCCTCATACCTGCAGCACTGATGAATAACCGATCTCCCCTCAGGCATTTAATACTTGCTTGTTTTCTCTGTATGCATTCCTCCAACCCCAATACTTTCTCCACTACTGCTACACACTGCTATAGATACTTTTAGCCCCGTTGCTCAGAAACACACTCCTGTTGATACTAGCAGTCTTGCTACTTCAAATACAAAATTTATTTTGATACTTTCAACCCTGTTACTCACAAATGCACAAACACATCTCCACACTGATACTTTTAATCTTGTTACTTAAAAATACACAGTTGCTGTTGATATTTTCAACTCTGTTACTCAGAAAACACAGTCAATATTGATATTTTCAAATATCAATCAGATATGTTATTCACAAATACACAATCACACTTTTGTTGGTACCTGCAATCTTGTTACTTCAGATACACGATTTCTATTGATTCTTTCAACCCTGTTACTCACAAATGCACAAACACACTCCTACTGATACGTTTGATCTTGTTACTTAAAAATAGACAATTGCTGTTGATATTTTCAATTCTGTTACTCAAAATACACACACACAACCCATATTGATACATTCAACCCTGTTATTCACAAATACACAAACTCTTGTTGATACCTGCAATCTTGTTACAAAACACACAATTTCTATTATGTTACTCAAAAATACACAAACAGTCCTGTTTATACATTCAGTCCTGTTACTTAAAATGTACATTTTGTAACTCATTTTGATATGGTTAAGCCTCTTACTCAACAGTACACACACATTCCTATTGGCACTGTCAACCCTGTTATTCTCTCTCACACACACACACACACACACACACACAAAATGTCCCCACAAGGTCAAAATTACAGATATTACTGTCCTTGTGGAGGACTTGGTCCGCATAACACCATAATGCAGGACCACACACACACACACACACACACATTGATGCTTTCAATGTCTTGAGGACATACCTACGAATACCTGGGAGATTTGGTCAGCTTTAGCTAACTTCTGGGAACATTTCCCCCCAAAGAATAGCTAAGTAATGACGCACACACTAGTACTGATACTTTCAACCATGTTACTTATAAATACACACACGCATTCTAAATGGGGGGATGCCTTATTATACTTATAGTATATTAGTCTTATAGTATTAGACTAGCTGATTGCAACACTTTTTTTTTTAATTTAGATTCTGACAGATTTAGACTTCTGACAATTTTGAGCCAAGAGTTTAGCTAAGTAAACTCACTCACTCACACACTCACACACTCACACAAACAAATATATTTTTTCTAAACTTTTCCTGTTGTTTCTAAATATATTTGAAAATACACACAAATCACTGACTAAATCTCTTATTTTTAATGACATTATCTGTGCTTCTAGCAGGCTGAGATCTGTAAATAGCCACAACTGACACAGTGCCAGGGACAACTATCCATACAGGCATTGAGGTCTACATAGACATGATAAGATCCAGGATCAGGAGGGGCTGAAACCCGAGTGTATCACAATATTGATCACAGCACAAGCTGAGGGACTTTGCCGTACACACACTGTGACAGGAAGCGCTAGCTGCCCTCACTGCTGCTTCCTTATTTTGAGGTCAATTAACCATCCCGAAGTTGACTGTGTGTGCGGGAAATCAGAGGAGGGGTAGGAAGTGAATAGATCAAGTAGAAAACGTCACATTGTACCATCTGGACTAAAAATGAGCTAAAGCTTTGCATGATGGAAGTCCAAGATGTGACTCTCTTCTGTGACTCAAGAATAGATTTGTGTGGAGATCATCTCTCCACATAAAAAGTGATCTTTCATCAGTAAACCAGAGAGGATGAAGTCATACCCACAGCAGGCATTCTTAGACACGTCCCGGAATCTGTCGTCTTCACTTCATCCATTCATATAAGCCTGATGCAAGAATCATGCCTTTGATATGACAGGACTGTAATTGTGATTAAATGCTGAGAAAATCACACACGCGCCTCCAGTTATTGGCACTGGTCGTGATGTGGTGTTTGGATAAACATTTGCAATAGTGCTTCATTTTCTTTGAGCTTGTCTGCTAAGATTTTCTGCTTTCAAGGATACTTCCTGAAAGAGTGGGCAAGAGCTGTTTGCTCACCGCAGAGTAAAATAGGCTCCTTAAATTTCAATAAAGAAAAGTACACAAGGTATTATAAAGTGCACAGTGGTCCTAGAGAGGAAGAGTTGTCTTAGACATTTGTATTCCCTTCTTTTATATAT